AGACTTCCTGAAGACTGTCTGGAATTGACAAAGGCTTCTTTTACAGCATTGGAACCGAAGTCAACAGAAGATACGGTGGACCTACTTGTCACTTCGCCTGCTGGTTCAACTTGAGAGTGAGATCGACTTCTTATTCCACTCGAAGACTGACTCCTTAACATCGTCTTTGGTTCGCTTCTATGTTCTTGAAGAGACTGAGTGGACTGACTTCTGCGTGGGTTTGATTCTTTTCTTGACCCATTAGGCGACTGCTGTTCTGTTATTCCACTTGTGGCTTCAGGTTCCACAAAAGACAAATTAGATATACTCTTTAAGTCAAATAAAGTCGGTCTGGGAGTATTTGATCTTCTCGGCTTTGATGACGAGCTTTTCCTGGATTTTAGGTCACTCTGGAGGTTCGCTTCCCCTGTGTTAACTGTTTGGTTCATCTCACTGATGCTGTTAGTCGCCGCCTTGTCGTCAGAACGGTGAGGTTGGTTACTCTTTGGATCTCTCATGTTACTAATAGTATTCTCGCTCTCAAGTTTTGCCTGTTTTAAAACATCCTCCCACAGTTCACTCCCTTCTTTTTCAAAGTGTGTCAAGTAGTTGGTTACCCTTTCCATTACTTTGTTGACGATGACCTTAGCCCAGTAGGTAATGTCGTGGTCATAGGCAACGCTCCAAGCGTCCTGAGTATCCTCAAGGCGCCTGGTATCTTTGTCATATACATTATTGAAGTTGGCAAAAAACTCATCGATAACCCTCTGACTTAGCCAACGGATGTACCCCTGAATAGTGGGTGAAGCATTGGAGTTTAACTCCAGTTGAAGGTGCTCATTGACTGCAAGGCCTTCCATGTTTGAATGAGAGCTCTTGATGCTCGGGGTGATGATTCTTACGGTTTTAGTAACTTTACTTTTGTCTGGTTTGAGATTAGAGTGTGTGGAGGGTTCTGCTGGTGAGTCGGGTCTCCTCGTCCTTGCAACAAGCGTTCCTGTTTCAAGACCTTTGGATTTTTTGATGTTTGGGTCCAAAACATTTTGATTTGGCACATGTCTAATAATTGTTCCCGTTTCTTGGTTTTCGGTTACCTCAGGGCTGATGGGTGGCTGCGAAGCGGACTCTGCCAATGGGCTTTGGCTAGTAAGATCTCCAACAGATGTTTTAAATTCGGAGTGTTTTGACTTTTCACAGTGAGAGTTTGATGGAACAACCTGAGGTGTATTTTGGTCTGTGGGATGTTGAACCAGTGCCTCAGGTTCTAGGCTTTTGAGATCCTTATCTTCTGTGGCCAAAACTGCATCAAGCTGTCCTGCGGAATTTCCGAAGTGTATGTCACTTTCTGAATTTTTTTTTTCTCCATCGTGTGTGTCTAAAGGAAGAGTCTGTACAGTCGATGGGTTTGGTTCTGTGGGATGTCCAGCGGGTGTTATCTCTTGTGGAACTGTGGATTCCTCGACGCAAGTGTCGGGACGTATGGTGGCCTCACCTGGTAAGTTTTGATCTATTGGCTCTCCAGCAAGTTTCCTATTTTCCTTGTTATTAACTTCCTCAGCTTCGGTGTTCAAAATAGGAGCTAGCTGGTCTGCGGGGTGTTCGTGAGATGTGTCGTTGTTTACGTGGCTTTCTTCCTCATTGCGGATGTCTGAATGTAACGTTGGTTCTTCCACTTGTTTCTCCAGTTGGACCTCGGTCTGGTCTGTAAGTGGGTGTTGGCGTTCCATGTTGTCTTCCTCAGTCTGGTCAAGCAGTGGAAGTTGCTCATCCAAGTAAATCCTCTCTGTCTGGTTATCTGTTGAGCTTAAGATGCTGGTCTGGTTAATGGGCGAGCTGGTTCGCGACTCTGACCCTCCAAGTGAGATCTTTGTGGGTGTCAGAACGGGCGTGGGCGATTCTCCGATCGTCTCCATGAGCACTGGTGACCTTAGGGGCGGCGGGGAGTTCATGGGCGGAGTGTTCGAAGGTGGCAGAAGTGTGTGTGCTGGTATTATATTACGTGAGGGTGGCGGAGTGTGCGTGAGGTGGTGGGCAGGGCGCGTCCTTAGTCGGGAGGAGTGAACTGCATGTTCAGCGTTCTGTGATCTGCCAGGGACAGACCCTGGCGGAGAGGTTACTCCTACCCGAGACATCGAAGTCTTCTTACTCTCCATAGCGTCGTCTGTCTCAGAATCGCTATCTTTAATCCTGCTGAGAGCCGTGTTGAGACGCTCCGCCACCTCTTCGTTATCCATCTTGTTGATGTTGCGGTTCCCTCCGCGATTCCTCCAGCTATTCCTAGCGCGCGTGGGAGACGCAGAGACCCTCATTGGCGTTGGAGTGCCAGGTCTAGGTGACTCAAAGTTTGCTCTCTCTCTCTGCTGACGGGGGACGATGTCCGGGAGTCGACGGTGACGCGAGAGGCTGGAACGGGTGAGCGGACCGTGCGAAGCGATGAGCTCGATGTGCTGCAAGTAAGCTTCGTCAGTGCTGCTGCTGCTGGGAGGTTCCACGACTTCACTGTCGATGCACTGCACGTGGTCGATCAGGCGAGGGTCTTCAGCGGGCTGAGAGGCGTTAAGGTCAGCGGAGTTCGGAGAGGAGAGGCGAGGTAGGCGGCCACTACGACCCCGTGACAATAAATGAACGATGGAACGGGACAGTATAGGTGAGAAGATTGTGCTTCTGTCATCCTCATCCTCACTCTCCTCCAGCTCCTGCTGCTCCTGTTCATGTTGTTGTTGTCGTTCCTGATGCTGCTGTTCCTGCTGCTCCTGTTCCTGCTGCTGCCGCTGTTGTGGGTCGTGGCCGGAGTAGCAGCCGTCTGGGTTCCTGTCGGACCATTCAACTAATCCAGTTCCATGTCTTGGTTAGTACCCAGCTTAACGATTTCAGGCAACTTCACTCCGCCGCTCACGCTGATCTCACGATCGCTGTCCACACCACCCACATTCTGCACGCCCTCGCTACCGCCCAGACCACTCGAGCTTCCACCTCCGGACATGGCGACTCTGATGCCACTTTCACACTCTAACTGACCCCCTTTCTCCCATTGCCGCCCAGGCGTGGGCGAGTTGCCAGACGCTACCGTGTCGTTGGGTGTAGGCTTGTGGGCTGGCGTGCGGCCGTGGAAGGGCATGGCGGGATCCAGGGATTGGTTCTGAGGTACGTCCATCCGGGCGTCCAAGTTGCGACCCACCTTCTCCGAGGCCATCTTCTGTGGGAGACACAGCGTCAATCTGCCGCCCACACGCCTGCCCACAGCCCACCCCACACACACACAAACACACACACATGCCCACTACCCATGCACACACCCATTGCCCATGCATGAACACATCAACCGGGTGTTAAAACAGTGTGTGCCGGTGGATGACATCGAAGTCGCTACAGCAACAAGACCTTGAACGTGCTCTTATAAGGTGCTGGTGGTGGAGGTCTCTTGACAATGATGTGCACCTCGTAGGTAAAAAAAAATCACAATACCGTGGCAGAAACAACTCACAGAGAGTTCGGACTTGTGTTTAAGTATGATTGGTTAATGGGGTTTAAGGCCTATATGGTACACGAGGGTCATTAAGGCTACACGTAACCTTTTCAAAATCAGACGAGATATTTTAATCCCTAAAATTGTGTTTAATCTCTCAGCATATATAAGCTGAGAGAGATGATCCTCTTGGTGCATATAACGTGTTGTTGAACTAGACTGTTTCTCCTATTTTTTCTCATTTATAATGTAACTTAGTTCTAGTCTAAGATCACTCCATCTATGAAGTGATCTCAGATAGTTTTTATCTCACTATATCACTATAATCTACTTATATAAATTTGAGTTTAGCTCTGCATCATATTATATATATATATATATAATATATTATATTATATATATATATATATATATATATATAATATATATATATATATATATATATATAGTAAATTACACTGATGTCTTAGGTGGAAAGGTATGATACTGTGTCTTTGCACTCAGTAAGTGAAACAAGCCAGAAGGTGCAACCACTGTCACTGCACTCTAAACCTCCGCTGTACTACTGGACTCCCTCACCAGTGAAAGCATTCAGATTCTCCAAGGATATGTATCGAGTCTTTCCCATCAGACGTTCTCTCCATATATATCCTTTGAGAAATAGGTATGTGAATTTTATATAGATATAATTTTTTAAGTATATTGGATACAGAGTGAAGTAGATTTTAACACTTCCAATTAAAATACGTTAAAATTTTATACCATTGCAGTTTCAGCCACCAAGAATGACTCACATTTTCAACTTTGACCTCTTCGAAGATCTACGTGATAATTCTTAGCCAATTCCTTAGCGATCAGATAATATTTACCTTGACTTCTCAAGTCAATATCCCAGAAATATGATGAAAAACGAAAAAAAAATGATTCAGTCTGATTAAAAAATTCACAAATCCAAATTAATATCAAACTAGAAGCGATTCTGCTTGTCTAGTAAGCTGCGTCTCGATCTAGCTTGTCAGCTTCACCATGGGGTTACAAGGGGTCAAGGCATAGCTCTTGGGCCCGACAACTTACCACTTTCTTGTCTATACCGAGTATATAAAAACACCTTACAGCCGCATGCCATGCATATATTTCGAACGCTTACGACATATAATTGTAAAATACCAGTTTGTAGAGAAAAAACTTGAAATGTAAAGAAGTGTAAAAGAAAAAAAATATTTAAAGAGGTGATTTATTTCTAGGAGTAAATGAAAAGGTGTGAATTTAAAGGGAATCTTTAAATTCCTTCATTGGAAAAGTATTCATCTTAAAGAGAATTTAAAGTGTGTGTGTGTGTGTGTGTGTACAGGATGAATCACATGAGAAATAAATCCAAAGAGATATAAATCTTATATTTTGAACCTATAGGAGGATTTGCGAAAGGTGTTAATTCTATCAGAAGGAGATTAAATCCAGAGGGGTAAAGCGACTAAAGCCAAAGGGTTTGAAGTCAAAAGGGTTAAAATCTAAGGGATAGAAGCAAAGAAGGCGAACAATAGTGTGTTAGACTTACATTGTCAGGAAGGGTGAGAGTCTCCGGGTACTCTGTGGTGAGGAAGTCAACTATCTCCTGGTTAGCGTTGAGTACCGCCTTGTGTAGCAGACCTACACCCTGTGGACACACCTGAAGCTTCAACACATGTGAATGTTATAGTGTGTGTGTGTGTGTGTGTGTGTGTGTGTGTGTGTGTGTGTGTGTGTGTGTGTGTGTGTGTGTGTGTATGTGTATTATGTGTGTGTATAATACATACATTCATTATCTGTGTATGATAAAAATTTTAAATATATATTAATAATACATTTATTCTGTTTGTGTGTACATGTGTAATGAAAATATCTATATGTGTAAAATACATTCATTATATATATATATTATATATATATATATATATATATTATATATATATATATATATATATATATATATATATATATATAATATATATATATATATATGTGTGTGAGAAAAATATGTGTATGTGTATAATACATAACATTCATTCTGTGTGTATGTCATACACAAACATACACTTGTATTCTCACTGGAAGAATATATCAATTATTAAGAATCCCCCCCCCCAAAAAAAAAAAATTACTGATTGATTTTTGTTGACACTTAAAGTTCAGAAAGTAGAGTGTACACGTCTAGTGGTCCTCTGCGGGGTCGAGTCTCAGCTCCCAACTCCACCTCTGGAGCCACTTTTTCTTACTCAAATTCATCTGGCAACTGTGTACTTAGGTTCATCTCTGCCTCGTTCATGTCATTGTACTGTTCAGAGACGCTCAGGCTGAAGAAGTAATTCTCAACATCACCATGACTCGTCTGTGTCGTTAGAGTCCACCCCCCCCTGTGTTAGCTAATTACTGGTACTGTGTTACCTAGTTACTGTTGGTGATACCTAGTTACTGTTACTGTGTTACCTAGTTACTGGTACTGTTATTAGTTACTGTGTTACCTTGTTGCTGTTGCTGTTACCTAGTTACTGTGTTACCTAGTTATTGTTACTGTGTTACCTACTTACTGTTGCTGTGTTACCTACTTACTGGTGATGTTACTGTGTTACCTAGTTACTGGTGATGTTACTGTGTTACCTAGTTGCTGTTACTATGTTACATAGTTACTGGTACTGTTGCCTAATTACTTTAAATGTGCTGTGTTACCTAGTTACTGGTGCTGTTACCTAGTTACTGGTACTGTGTTACCTAGTTACTGTTACCTAGCTTATGGTACTGTTACCTAATTTCTGGTCCTGTCACCTAGTTACTGGTACTGTGTCAGCTAGTTACTGGTACTGTTCCCTAGTTTCTGGAACTGTGCCACCTAATTATAGGTACTGTCACATAGTTGCTGGTACTTTGTCACCTAGGTACTCTGTCACCTAGTTTCTGGTACACTGTAACTTAGGTACTGGTAGTGTCAACTTGTTCCTTGGAATTTGTCACCTAGTTACTGGCACTTTGTCACCTAGTTCTTAGTGCTGTGTGACCCAATTCCTCGTACTTTTTGTCAGATTCACTATCACAACAAAGATAGTTGCTGTCAATCACAACAAAGGTAGATTTGTTGTAAATCACAACAGAGTAGGTAGACTCACTGTCACAATAGAGCAAGTAGACTCTCAATCACAACAGAGCAAGTAGACTGTCGGTCACAACAGTGTAGGTAGACTCTCAATCACAACAGAGTAAGTAGACTGTTAATCAAAACAGTGAAAGTAGAATGTCAATCACAGAGCAGGTAGACTATCAATCACAAAACACGTAGACTCAGTCACAACGGAGCAGGTTGACTATCACAACAGAGCAGTTACTGTCAATCACAACAGCAGGCAATCACAACAGAGCAGGTAGACTATCAATCACAGACCAGGTAGACTGTAAATCACAACAGAGCAGGTAGACTGTAAATCACAACAAAGCAGGTAGACTGTCAGTCACAAGAGAGCAGGTGAACTGTAAATCACAAGAGAGCATGCAGACTCACTGTCAGTCACGAGCAGGTAGACTCACTATCAATCACAAGAGCAGGTAGACTCACTATCAATCACAAGAGAGCAGGTAGACTCACTATCAACCACAAGATAGCAGGTAGACTCACTATCAATCACAGAGCAGGTAGACTATCAATCACAAGAGCAGGTAGACTGTTAACCACAAGATAGCAGGTAGACTCACTATCAACCACAAGATAGCAGGTAGACTCACTATCAACCACAAGATAGCAGGTAGACTCACTATCAATCACAAGAGAGCAGGTAGACTCACTATCAATCACAGAGCAGGTAGACTCACTATCAACCACAAGATAGCAGGTAGACTCACTATCAACCACAAGATAGCAGGTAGACTCACTATCAATCACAAGAGAGCAGGTAGACTCACTATCAATCACAAGAGAGCAGGTAGACTCACTATCAATCACAAGAGAGCAGGTAGACTCTCTATCAATCACAAGAGAGCAGGTAGACTCACTATCAATCACAGAGCAGGTAGACTCACTATCAATCACAGAGCAGGTAGACTATCAATCACAAGAGAGGTAGACAATCACAAGAGAGCAGGTAGACTATCAATCACAAGATAGCAGGTAGACTCACTATCAATCACAAGATAGCAGGTAGACTCACTATCAATCACAAGAGAGCAGGTAGACTCACTATCAATCACAAGAGAGCAGGTGGTTGACTCACCTGAGTGTCCTTAGAGCTGGCAAACTTCCTCTTGTCAATGAGAGCTTTCAACTCCCTCAAGTCGCCCTTCTCAACTGAGTCGTGAATCAAGTCGATTTTCGACTATGTAGCAGCGGCGAGGGAGGGAGAGAAAGTATACTGGTTATACCAAGCTTTTACTGGTTATACCAAGCATATTGTTATACCAAGGGTATACTTTTTATACCAAGGGTATGTTATACTAAGCATATACTAGTTATACCAAGTATACATTTGTTATACCAAGTATATATTTGTTATACCTAGTACATACTTCGTATACTAAGTATAAATTTGTTATACCGAGTATATATTTGTTATACCATTCATATACTTGTTATACCAAGGGTATAACACGAGAAATACATCTTACATCAACGTGTGTTGTTGTATCGGCTGACACTAATAGTATGATTAACCAGTGCCTGGGTCAGCAGCTACACTGGATGGTGGTAGTGGTGGTAGTATTGGTGGTAGTGGTAGTGTTGGTAGTATCGGTGGTAGTGGTGGTTGCTGGTCACACCAGTACTACACTGGATCAATACCACCATTCTAGGAACTGATACGCGGTCCACTTAGTCCTGACATGAAGGAAGTGAAGAGTCACTAAGGTGATGGATCACTAAGAAGGTGGTGGATCACTAAGGTGGTGGTAGATCACTAAGATGATGGATCACTATGATGATACATCACTAAGAGGGTGATGATGGATCACTTACAAGGTGGTGATGGCTCACTAAGGTGGTGATGGATCACAAACATGGTGATGGATCACAAAATAGGGGTGGTGGATCACTGAGGTGGTGATGGATCACAGACTAGGGGTGGGGATCACTAAGGTGGTGATGGATCACAAAGTAGGGGTGGTGGATCGCTAAGGTGGTGATGGACCACAAAGTAGGGGTGGTGGATCACTACGGTGGTGATGGATCACAAAGTAGTGGTGGTGGATCACTAAGGTGGTGATGGATCGCTAAGATGGTGATGGATCACAGAGTAGGGGTGGTGGATCACTAAGGTGGTAGTGGATCACAAAGTAGGAGCGGTGGATCACTATGGTGGTGATGGATCACTATGGTGGTGATGGATCACTATGGTGATGGATCACAAAGTAGGGGTGGTGGATCACTATTGTGATGATGGATCACAAACCATACCACGGGCGGGGATAGAACCCGCGATCAGAGAGTCTCAAAACTCCAGACCGTCGCGTTAGCCACTGAACCAGCTAGCCACAATAAGATTCATCCAACTAGGTATATTTCGACACCATAGGAAGGTTAGCACAGGCACCACTGTGACCACAAATGCAAGTTTTTACAGACTAATCTCCAGCTAGCGTGTTCTATCCCCGCCCGTGGTATGGTTTGTTTGCAATCGTGTCATTACGATTTCGTGAGTCATGGATCACAAAGTAGGGGTGGTGGATCACTAAGAAGTAGGTCTACGGCTGTGAATCCCAAATTTCTTTGGGTTGAATACTTCTTGACATTATACACCTGTGAACAAATACCTTTCTCATATACTGTACTTATGATAGTCATACATACCCATACAACATACCCATATTCTAAATTGTATAAAGTACTGTAGGCCAAGGTTGATTAACGAGATTAATATCTAAAATAGGATATAAAACAAATGTCAGTGTATATACGCTCAGATATACACCTCCTGGTGTAAATTTCTGGTTCATAAAGGCTGTAGTAACACAATTTTGATAAGAGAGAAAATATAGAAGGTGTGTATAGCGTTGCTCCAACTCCTGAAGGTATTTCAAGAGTTGGAATGATGCTATACACACCTTGTAAATACTGGCTCTCTTACTGTGAATAGCACCTTGTTTTTCTGACCATGACAGAGTAAGGTCTGATTCACCCTTGTACCATCACCATGACGGTATGTTGATCAGATGCAGAACATTTTCACCCATCAGAACCGCGGGGTATGCGATGGGATACGCAAGTAAGTTATTTACAATAATCACTATTTTAGGTATTAGCATTCTTGACTGGTGGACAGGTTACCGCGCAGCCTTAATGAACCTCGTGTATTATTTATCGTATGTGTTGACGTTATGTATAGAAGGAGCTGGAGTTACAACCTGGTGTACAAGTAGTTATGACCTGGTGATTAGGTAATTATAACCTGGTGATTTGGTAATTATATCCTCGTGATTAGGTAGATATTTCGTGTATAAGTAGCTATAACTTGGTGTACAGGTAGTTATAACCTGATGTACAGGTAGTTATAACCTCGTGTATTGTTATAACCTGGTGTACAGATAGAGATTGGTTGAACCCCGCGAACCACCCTAATAGACCTTAAACTATCATTCTATCACCTTAATGTCTGGTCAGGGGTAAACAATCTCAGTCAGTTATTATGGTCAGTAATGTCAAATTCCTGGAAAATAACGAGATAATAACTGGGAATAAACTTGGATTTCTCGGTAAAATAACCTCAGGTTACTGAGGGAGCCGTCTTCAGCTCACAAGAGAGGGAAAGGGTTCGATACCCCTGCGAGAGGTGACCTGCAACATAGCTAGTTGTAAGAAAATAACGGGAAACAGTGAGCCTTACTGTTGTGAAAAAAAAAAACAGTGAGCCTTACTGTTGAAAAAACAGGAAAACTTTACTGTTAAAAACAACAGAAAAAAGCTTTGCTGTTAAAGAAAAACAGGAAAACAGCTTTACTGTTGGAAACAGGAAAAGAAAGAGGTTTACACTTGGAAAAAACAGGAAAACAAGGAGGTTTACTGTTGAAAAACAGGAAAACAAAGAAAGGTTGAAAAAACAATAAAACAAATAACGCTACTGTTGAGAAAACAGGAAAACAAATAAGGTTAATGTTGAAAAACAGGGAAACAAAGAGGTTTACTGTTGTGATAAACAGGAAAACAGAACATTTAAAAAATATGAAAAAGACTAAAAAAACAAGAAAAGACATTATAAGAAAACAGAAAAACGGGATATTTAAACAACAAGAAAACGGGACAGTTAGAAAAACAGGAAAATAGGACATTTAATCAAAGTAAACAGAACTTAACAGGATATTTAAAAACATGAATCAACAGGTGTTTCTGATTGGCCAAATATCTGATTCTTGGGTATGACCATTAGGGTGTATCAGGGTCCATCAGGAACCATCAGGGTCTATCTAGGCCACTCAGGGTTCATTAGGGTCTTTCAGGGTCCATTAGAAACCATAGTGCTTATCAGGATCCATTAGAAACAATCAGGAACCATCAGGAACCATCAGGAACCATCAGGGTCCACTTCTTGGTCCAGTGATCTTCTCAATTGACGCAAATAATGTCGAATAAAATCACAAATCTATAATCTTAAAATCTGCAGGGGACGCTAAATTTTGAATAAAAAAAATTATTTATAAATATAGTAACCTAAATAGACTGAGGCAGTGTTTAGAGTAACCTAGATATTATATTATATATATATATATATATATAATATATATATATATATATATATATATATATATATATATATATATATATATATATATATTCAACAAAACCGGCCGTATCTTACCGAGGCAGGGTGGCCCAAAAAGAAAAACGAAAGTTTCTCTTTTTAAATTTAGTAATTTATACAAGAGAAGGGGTTACTAGCCCCTTGCTCCCGGCATTTTGGTCGCCTCTTGCAACACGCATAGCATATATTATATATATATATAATATATATATATATATATATATATATATATATTTATATATTATATTATATATATATATATATATATATGTGTGTGTGTGTGTGTGCCGAATATGTAAAACTGGTCAATTATCAAGAACTCATTTAAAATTAAGTCCTTTCTAAAATTTATTCTTATACGTTTAAAGATATATATTTTTCATTAATGTTAATGTAAAAATTTTTAATTTTGCACCAAAAGCATCTTAGAAAACTTGCCTAACCTTATTATAACGAGCAATTTATTTTAGCCTAACCCAACTAAATATATTTTAGATTTATTTACAGTAATTTAATACTAAACAAACACAGTGAAATATATTTTTTTCGTTAGGTTCAGAATGATTTTGGCGAAATTATTGCATACACAAATTTTCACTTGTCCTATATGGCAAGATGAGCGTTGCTATTTAAGCCAAGATCGCAAATTCTACCTATTCGGCACGACATATATATATATATATATATATATATATATATATATATATATATATATATATATATATATATATCTTTCAACACATCGGCCGTATCCCACCGAGGCAGGGTGGCCCAAAAGGAAAAACGAAAGTTTCTCCTTTTACATTTAGTAATATATACAGGAGAAGGGGTTACTAGCCCCTTGCTCCCGGCATTTTAGTCGCCTCTTACAACACGCATGGCTTACGGAGGAAGAATTCTGTTCCACTTCCCCATGGAGATAAGAGGAAATAAACAAGAACAAGAACTAGAAAGAAAATAGAAGAAAACCCAGAGAGGTGTGTATATATATGCTTGTACATGTAGGTGTAGTGTGACCTAAGTGTAAGTAGAAGTAGCAAGACGTACCTGAAATCTTGCATGTTTATGAGACAGAAAAAAGGACACCATTAATCCTACCATCATGTAAAACAATTACAGGCTTTCGTTTTACACTCACTTGGCAGGACGGTAGTACCTCCCTGGGCGGTTGCTGTCTACCAACCTACTACCTAGGGTATATTTTTATATATATATATATTTTATATATATTTTATATATATATATATATATATATTATATTACACAGAGAGAGAGAGAGAGAGAGAGAGAGAGAGAGAGAGAGAGAGAGAGACATTCCTCAACTATACTCGTTATTGTGATGTATAATGTAAAAATCGTGAATAAATTAACGAAAGAGCCAGAGGTAAATATTCACCCAGGATCCATACATCATTCATCATTAATGACGTCGCAGAACATCAATATCACCGCTTTTGTTATTGTTTGTGACGTCACTGAATATCCCCCTCTACCATTGGTTGACTGGTTAAGGCTATGAGTCATACCACCCTGTCATTGGTCGGATGGATGTGACATCACGGCTAAGATTGTCCTGCTATTGGCTATGTGCGTGACGTTATGGAAATAGCGCACTCCTATTGGCTGTTCGTTGCCATGTCGCTCTGCTGC